CATTCGCCTCATTTTTTCTTTAGCCAATTTGTGAATTCAATGCTCATTACAATCTTCATTGTCTTCCTCGAAATTATGTTCAAAAACAACTACCAAGTGTTGTGTACCCGTATCTTGCCCATGTGAAGAAAAGGTTCTGGCCTCAGAGTTACTAGTACCAACATGTCCAGTATGAGACCTGGACTAATCATCAAGTCTAGGGCATTTGGACAATGAAGGGGGAGAACTATTTCCCACGGATACAATATTCTATCCTTTCTTAGGCCCTCGAATGACAACTATTTCCACTTCTGAATAAAAGTTGTAGAAATGATCACCTAAAACCCCTTCAACACATGGAGGGATCTCAACAATATCTCTGCATCCTAACAAAATGTGAACATACTTTGGCTTATAGAGACTAGCAAGGTCCAACTCAAGAGTAACACCAACAAGAGACCCAACATAAGCTACATTCTCCTCACATCGCTTGTCAACAAGGACATTACGAACACGAAACAATCTTTATGCATATTAGCTTTATCCCCAATGGATGCAGTCTAGAAAGAAATGTTAGCCCTAACCTTGCCATCCTTGAGGGGTAGGCGCTTACCAAAGTAACACACATGATCTACCTCCTTATGATTAGGAAATTGCATGGTAAATTGCGTCGGACTAATAAGACGAGCAATACGTCTCTAGCCAAGACTGAAAAAGCAATTAAATTCATACTCGATCTTCCTAATTGTAGTAGCGCTCTCAAGAACAATAATGACCATAGTACTAGCACGACTCCTTAACTTGCTTAGTAGTATTCAAATCAGGGTAATAGAAGAAACCTTGCCCAGGGGATTGAAGCCGCACATGGACTTGGGCAAAATCTCTTGATTTCCTGATCCTATAGAGTTTAAGAGGGCATAACACTCCTATATTTTTTCCATTTTGTCATTCTGTAAATCATACAAAACAAAGAGGCCCTAAACTCTATTCATTCTTGAGATACAACTTATGAAACAAACTGGCCAAATATCGTAATAAGTCACTATTCTCATAGGAAATTGTGGCATATGGTGATTGGTTATCTCTTTCGTATTGTACTCCACGTAATTATTTCTAGATTTCCGCTAAATTCTTTTTCTAGATTCAACTTGATAACGACAGAAATCGACACCTAGCTCGATTAATTAGATGCTACAAACTTATCAAGAAAGGTTTGTTCATTTTTCTGTTACTAAAAAATATTTAATTTTTTCTTATTGACAAATAAATATATTATTTGAAGGAAAAAATAACTCTCATATATGTATATATTTGTGGAACTTTTACCATTAAACCGGGAAAATTCACGAGCGCGACAACACATGCGAACATGATCTAATTCGGTACTATATTGAGTGTTTTCTCAAAGCATGTATGTTCTATTAAATTTATCATTCGGTCATAATTGATTTAATTACAACATAAGTGAACATATTCATACACGGTACGCAACTCCTGTCAAAGGCAGTTTAGGGTTTTCTTCCGCAGTCATCCTCTTCCACCGGTAGATCGCCGGCCTCCTCCTCCTCAAGACCTCAACTGGCTTCGCTGGTAGGGGTATGAGGGGAGGCCCTTATCTACCGGTGGGAGTCATAGTTTCCTCCTCTTGGAGCATCAGATAGATCTCCGTTCTGCGATGCCTAGATGATGGTGTTGCCATCGGTGTGGAATAAGGTCTTCCCGCCTCGCCCTAATTCCGGTGATGCTTCATCATATCACCGGAAGGCGTGCAGAAGATGGTATGTCCTCAGATCTAGTTCTTCGGGCCTGGCATTTTTTCCTGCAAGTTTGTCTCGATCGTGTTGTTGTAGGGAGAGGACAACATGGTTGTACGTATTGGTCTCCAAGCTCCAGTTCCAACCAACGTAGATTGTCCAATCTCGGCCTAGTCGGAGAGCATGTGAGGCTTGTGCTCATCAACTCTGTTTGGCTGGAACTGGGGCACACTATAGGCCATCTCCCTCGTTATATTCTCCGAAGCGGCGATTCGCTTTTTTACACAAATCACGACCGTCAGTATTTTTGGTCTACATCAACGACTTCGGGCCACTGCTTCTACAAGTCCCTGGGCTTAAACAAATTTGTTTCGCTAAGGCGGAGGTCCAAAGGCGACAACGAGCTTTGCTCATGGCCGGCCATCGGTGGATGCAGGAAGAAGAAGACTTTGGCACCCCAAGGATATTGATGTATTTTTTTAATTTCTGTAAGAGTGTTTGTGTGAGAGTTTGTGATAGTAGTAAATATATGGCCTTTGACCTATTTGAAAAAAAAACATGAATACATGAATACATTTTACTTCTGCACCGGGACGTCGAGGAGGGCAATCCCATAAGTTCAAATCAAGGTAGACCCATATATGTGGGGGTTTATTTGTTTTACAAAAGATGCGTCCTTTGTTGAAATTAAAACCCCTCCTTATTGAACCATCGTTTGTTTCTTTGACCTTAATCAACCACTCTTCAGTGCAACGCAATGAAATGAACAAAGCCATGCATTTCAAAATGGCAGTCAAGTTGAGGTATGCATGTGAGCGATAATATAATTAGCAAGTTATTTCTTTGTTGCTCCTGCCCCCTATCAAACAGGATATAAGCCAAGATACTTGATGATGAGAGTTGAGACAGAAGATGCGTTCAGAACTTCATATATCAATTATATTTATTGGATGGTTGCATGGAATATAATATATACAAGATGCAGCAGACCCGCATCCTCAAATCTGCGTATACCGATCTGTCATGCACGATACTGCAGCAAGCTGTCCAGCAAGTTGACGAGGGTAAAAAAATAAATAAACATTATTATTCTGTAACAGCACAATCAGAAAGGAGTTGGAAGCTCATATCAACCAAAATTTGGTGCCAGAACTGACGACCACTACAGACTACACTGAACCGCCCCTATGATTCTAGATGTAGCATCTCCGTAGTTGGAAGGGGATTTGTGGTCTGAGCGAGGCACCGATCCCATTTTTTTCTTTCAGTTTTGAATCTTTTGAACTGAAAGTCCAAAACTCCAAATTAAATTTCGTTTGCATATTCATGTTTCTTGTGACAAGGACCTTCAAATAAGATAGAACACTTTTGAATATGTTTTGACAAATTTTTAAAGCTTGGTGTCCTCTTTTGCGCAATCCAACAACCGTGCAGATCGCGAAGCAATCGTTTGGCCGAGCAGGATTTGGCAGGTGTGTGCCGCCGCATATGTGTGCCCTTGCGAATTTTTGCTCAGTGGTTCATGCAATGAAAACATGCCGAGAGTACCATTCGGCATGAGTAATGAGCTATCTGAAACAAAAAATGATGAGAGGCTTGTTGAAAAATTGCTACGAACCAGCAATGATGCTCTTTTCAAAAGGATGGAGAAAAATGTAGAAATGATGCTCAGCAATGTTAATTCACAAAATCGTACCAAGTGAATGAATAAAAAAGAATTCCTCTAATAAACATCTACAACTCAATTGGCTTTAAAGTACCATTTTTATTTGTTTAGCACCAAGTTAGTCCTTATATGATGTGATCACTCAACTACTACATCATATCAGATGTCCTAAAGTGGCATTACCAATTAAGTACGATAGTACAGAAGGTTCAAAATATTGTTAAAACAAACACTTCATGCATTCGCACTTCACGGAAATAAGTATACAGGATTCAAGGGCGCGTTCCTATCCAATGCAGATATTCTTCTTTTTCCCTTGCCGACGGCCATGGTATTCTATTTAGTCTCCATTCTTTTACCATCTTTTTTGCTTATACCGACTGGGGTTCATTTGATCCTTTTTCATATTGAATTCATGCTCCAGCCAATTTATTTAAAAGTTCGAATTGATGAAGGGAGGCGGGCAACATTCCATAATTTGTGAATTCATATCAATTTTTCGTTCATTTTTAATCATCAATACTCCCTCCGTTTCCAAATATTTGTCTTTCTAAAGATTTCAACAAATGACTACATACGGAGCAAAATGAGTGAATCTACACTCTAAAATATTTAGGAACGGAGGGAGTAGAAGGAACCTGGAAAGACAAATATTTAGGAACGGGAGTAGAAAGGACCTGGAGTTTTCCCGCAAAAAAAAGAAAAAAAAAAGAGAAGGGACCTGGAGTTACCTGCTCAGGAGCCAGGGCAGTACTTAGTGGGAGATATGCTTTGCAAGTTGCAATATCCCTTTTAAGCCACTAGGCATCTCCCTCGCTTAATTTAATTTCACTGATTAGCACCACTCCAGCTTTTAACCCCAACCCCGTCAGGCCATCGCCACCACTCGCTGTTGCGGCGATGCTGCGTATATAAGCAAGCTAAGCAAAGCCACGGAGCAAACTCGTTCGCCTTGAACCAACACCGTCACGCCGCATCAAAGGCTCCATCCACCAAAACATTAACAAATCACAGGCGAGGCGACCGCCAGCGAGGAGTGTGCCCGCCGCCGAAGCCGCAGGCGCACGAGCTCCAGCCGCGCGAGCCGGCCAGCGAGGCCGTCCGGAGATCCCCTCCGGCGCCGAGGAGGCCCCCCGCCGCCGCCCGCCGGCCAATGCAGCCGGCCAGCCCCGCGGTAAGCAGACCCCGCTGCCTCGGCCCGGTCGCGCGCGGTTGGTGTGATCCGCAAACCTGCTGCTACTGTTCTGGATAACTGCTGCCCTCTCCATTTCTGTCTCTGTACTATCTGCGAAGTAGTTCATCGGTTCCCGTGCTAATCTGTAATCTCTCGGCTTGTTCAAACAGTGCCCTCTCCTGGTCTCCTTTCTAGGAAAAGGCAGCGAGTGCTGGGCTGATTTTGATTGGGTTGGGTGGCACGTGACGCGAGTACGCTTTGGCTAAAGTTGTTTGGCTTATGCACTTGTCCCGCTGCTTTTCGCAGGACCTGGTGGTAAGGATGCGCAGGCGTTTGAACCGCAGCATGGGCACGGCGGGAGGAATTTGAGGCGACTTGCTGCAGTGAAAGGCTGTGATTGTTTTCCGTTACGGGCTGGGGACGCGTAATGGAGTCCCGCATGGACCAGTACGAGATCATGGAGCAGATTGGGCGCGGCGCCTTCGGCGCCGCCATCCTTGTGAATCACAAGATCGAGAAGAAGAAGTACGATATAGTAGTATCTTTTTTTCACTTCCAAGCGTAGATTCTGTTTCCACCCGTCGGATGAAGGTGACAGCAACGGCTGTGATCTGATTGCAGGTATGTGCTGAAGAAAATCCGTCTCGCGAGGCAGACGGAGCGCTGCCGCAAGTCTGCTCATCAAGAGGTTTGAGAAAGAAAAATCCCTTGGGCTTTGTTTGTTGATTTATTGGTGCTATTTTGGGGAATTGGTCTAAGTGAAAAGTAAATTGCAGATGGCTCTCATCGCTCGACTACAACATCCTTACATTGTAGAGTTCAAAGAGGCCTGGGTTGAGAAGGTTTATATTTTAACCTTTATTTTGCTTTGTTTGTTGGCTTTGAAATTTCAACTGAACTTATTTACTGACAAGGAGAGTTATGCAGGGTTGCTATGTCTGCATCATCACGGGCTACTGCGAAGGGGGGGATGTGTGAGTGTTATTTGGTGCTTCGGAGTTCAGTTTCTTGTTTCCATGTCTCTTAAATTGTACTTTGTTCTTTAAAAACAGGGATGAGCTGATGAAGAAATTAAATGGTACTTACTTTCCTGAGGAGGTATGAGATAATTTATCTGTATTGTTCATCTGAATTAGATTAAAAACACATCCAACATCGAGCTCATAATACTGATTGATCACTGATTGTTCCTCAGAAATTGCTGAAATGGTTCGCACAGTTGGTATTGGCTGTTGACTACTTGCATTCGAACTATGTCTTGCATCGTGATCTGAAGGTAAGCAGCAATGGGTATAGTCATCGCCAATTATTTTATACGGTGGAAACATTGACGATTGTTCCTCATAATTGCAGTGCTCCAACATATTTCTCACCAAAGATCATGATATACGCCTTGGTCAGTTCCTGATTACAGATAGTACAGTACTGCAAGTTATTTCACACTACTTTTAACCTTTTGTTTTATCAATTAACAATCCATTGGTTTGCATGCAGGAGATTTTGGCCTAGCCAAGACTCTGAAGGAAGATGATTTAACTTCTTCAGTATGATCCTTTTTCCTATCTCCTGATGATCTCTGTGTAAAACATTTGCATTGCCATAGCCTTTCCTACTGTTAGAAGGGCATTCCATTTATTGAGCTATTAATACCTCTCTCATATGGTGCATCACCAATGACAGCATGATGTTTGTCATGTGCATATACCTCATGCTATTTATCGTCTTCTTCTTCCCTTATTAACCACAAACAATGTAGGCGCGTAAATTCATCTGTATTGTGGAGAACATAAAGTCAGGATCATTTTTATATGCTCAGACTTTGCTGGATACTAACGCTATTATGTTTCCTTTAGGTCGTCGGAACACCGAATTACATGTGCCCGGAGCTGCTTACAGACATTCCCTATGGATTCAAGTCGGACATTTGGTCGCTTGGTAAAAATAATTAACATCAGGCTAATGTTTCTGTACTATTCCTAGATTACCACATATTTTCTTATGAATTTAATATAACTTTGTCGTTTATAGGATGCTGTATGTATGAGATGGCGGCCCATCGACCTGCTTTCAAGGCTTTTGTGAGCTCTTACCTGATCTACTTTTTGCTTAAGAATCATTGGTATCCTGGGTGTATTATAAGTTGAACATTTACCTTTTCCATCTTACATTCCGAATGGGCCCATACCCGTAGTTTTTCTGGCTTAGTAGTTTAATACTCCTATGTTGAAGAAACTGCAATATTTTGGTAGAACTAGCTAAGATCTGGTTAGCTCTGTAGTCCATCCTGTATATTCTCTTACGGAAATACTTTGCAGATGCTATACAATATAAAATGGAACATAAACTAACTCTGCATGTAAACTTATTTCCTATGTAAAGATTCTTTTCGAGACAATATTCAAAAGTGCTTTAGGCCGAATTACATGAACAAAGCAATTACCATGGGATATTGCCTAAATTCAGTAAAAAGAACTAAATTAGTATTCCCTCGGTAAACTAATATAAGAGTGTTTAGAACACTACTTTAGTGATCTAAACGCTCTTATATTAGTTTACAGAGGGAGTATATCAGTTCATAATTGACATGTACTAACTCACATATAACTATTCATATTTTAGAGCATTTGAGCATTAAAGTTTTTTTAAAATTCTCGCAACATTTCAAGTAACTTCTATATAAGTTTGTCAATTATATATTTGCTTTTGTAAAAAATATTGCTAATGGTGTTTATGATTCATCCAAAGCTAACTATTTAGTTACATACAGTATCAAAGTTTGGAACATATGAGGTACCCAAAATATCTTCTACAAGAAAATGGTGAAATAAAATTAGTATGATCTGTTAAAACTCTACAATAAAAGATCTACAATGCTGGGTTTCCTGGTTGTTACTTGGTGACGCTACTATTTGCAGTTTTCTTTAACAAATCAGTGGACTTACCCGATTAAGAATGCTTGCAGGATATGGCTGGATTGATAAGTAAGATAAATAGGTCCGCGATGGGTCCCTTGCCTACCTGCTACTCCTCTTCTATGTATGTGCACTTTTCTTCATAGAGTCGGTTGTGTAAAAGCTATACATTCGTTAAAAGTTGTCTTGTCATTTGTCTCATTTCAATCACATGATCTGTACTGTGGTAATCATCCTTGGTTCTTATGCTTCAGAACCAAGTAATGATTTGGTAGCATCTGTACTGATGTTGGTGTATTACAGTTTATATGTCTCTTTTAAGTCGCAAGTGTATGTCCTTTTTAAGTCTTATCATTTGTCTCATTTCAATAACATATTGTAAGTCATCATCCTCAATTTTTATGCTTCACAACCAAGTAATGATTTGGTAGCTTCGCAAAGAATATACCACTCTAATGGTTTCCCCTTTTGCTGTTAAATACAGGAAATCTCTTATCAAAATTATGTTGCGGAAGAATCCTGAGCATCGACCTACTGTAAGCTACTATGAAGCTGGAAACCTTCTGACTATAGCCTTGTCTCTTCCACTCTTTCTTTCGAAAGGCCGTAGCTGATCTTTATTAAGAAAGAACAAGAGTTTACAAGTACAGCATGATCTCTGAATAAAATGTAATGTCCTGTGAACAGGCATCGGAGATTCTGAAGAACCCATATCTGCAGCCTTATGTTGATCAATGTCGTGCTCTTTATGATGCTTCAAATACCATGCGGACACCACCGAAATCATTGTCCACTTCACGGAGCAGTCAGAGAAGCATGTCTGAAAGCCAAAGCAGCAGCATGTCTAGTAGTGATATAGACAGCACACTATCAAGTGACAGAAGCACATCAGGTGGAGCTGCAAGTACTGATACCAAGGTCATTGATACTCGAAGCGTTCATGATGTGGATCGAGATAACTCAGATGAGAAGTGTGCAACGCCAGAAGATCTCAGAGGCAACAAAGACCTGAAAAGACAAGATTCATCTAAATCCATAGATCAGCATCACAGGGGTGAGAGTAAGCAACCGAAAATCATTGAGAAGATAATGACAACCTTAAGAGAGGAGAGCAGGCTTAGAGAAAGCAATACTCCTGCAAGAACTAGAGGCGTAAAGCCGAGTTCTGCAGCCAGTAATAAGAATGAAGCAGAGCAACCATCAGATACTTCAAGGTTTAACAACAATAATGCTTCATGCAGATCAAGGTCTGGTGATGATTCATCTCATGGATTGGTCAGTACCAACGATGGATGCGTGAACTCAGTGCAAGCTTCACCACCCTCGAAGCAACTGGTATGAACCTGCTTCCTTTATATCATAGACAAAATCCAATTCGTTTTCTATTGCTAACAACTTTCTCCTGCTACTGGTCATGCAGTTACCTATTGTTGAACACCGTTCAAATATCAGAACCTCTCGGTCATCAACTCCTGAACCTGCCAAACAGGTCATTGAAAATGGTTCGGCAGTTTCAGCGAAGTCAAAAATGAAGACCCCGAGTAGTGCTACTAGACGGGCTAGCCCTCAGCGACGAGTGGGTGTAGGGACAACTGGCCTCCCAGCCACTGTGCAAAAAGGAGCTCAAACTAAGGTCATGGTGGAGGGTGAGAAAAGTCCATGCCAACGTGTCCATTCTCCAGATAATACCCCTGGTGATCTTCCACTTACTGTAAGGCCATCCAAAATTCCTTCAGAAGGTCTGAACATCATGCCAAACAACTCACATGCAAAATCTGCTCCCCGAGAATTGTTTACTGTCGCAACTAAGGAAGACATCAGCCCTTGCTCAAGTTCAACAGTTGGTTGTGTTGAAAAGATCGACCAGTCTGAGATATCTGAACCTAACCCACCAGCCTGCTTGATTTCATCGCACACAAGCTCGGTGCCTGATGCTGCTGCTGTGCCAGAAGACAATGGCCTTACAGCCATACCACGTTCAGAAATTAACACAGAAAAATCGCAGAGGAGTGCGGTTAGTAATGATTCAAGCCTGAGCTCTGCTTTGGGTCCATCCGTTCCGAGCTTTGAACAGGAGTTTGTTTGCAAGGATGATGTGCAATCCAGTAAGCATGGGCAGAATATGGCCACATTCCAAAGTGGTGAGGATAAATTTACTGTCCAAGAGCTTCTCTCATCGATGCTACCATACGATTCTTCGGTCTCAACAGCAGAAGATACGATGTTGGATAAGGGACCCAATTCTGTTCAGTCAATGAAGAAACAAACATCAATGAAGAAAGAAACAGGTCCTCATTTAAACCCACTGGTTGATGATGCCATGCGGCAAATCAATTTCAATGTCAGCAATGAGCAGCCAATATCAGAAAATGTTCAAGGGGAGACTCAGAACATGGATGTCAGCAAACTTCTGAATGTGGTAAGAGAAGATCTGGAAGTAAGAAGCAGCTCATGCTCATTAAACTCACTGCCTTCTACACCTCTTCCCTCAGTTGCTTCCGAACAGCATGCTTTGGGAAGCAATGCTGCCTGCAAGATACCAGCCGGCTCAGACACAGCAAGATTATCTAGTGCCATCGTCGATGTGAGATCTTACATCTCTGAGGCCAACATTGTTGTCAAGGAGGAGACATCCCCTGCCAAGGAAATGCTCGACGTCACGTCATTTAGGCAGCGGGCCGAGGCTCTTGAGGGGCTCCTTGAGCTCTCCGCGGACCTACTGGAAGACAACAGGTTGGAGGAACTTGCTATTGTTCTGAAGCCATTTGGGAAGATGAAGGTCTCTCCAAGAGAAACGGCAATCTGGCTGGCTAGAAGCTTTAAAGGGATGATGAATGACGAAGCGAGTCGCACGTCAATGTGAGTATCTGTATTTTTGTAGCCCGGAGGGGCCTTTTTGTTTGCTCCCCCCTTGTGCTCCGAGCTTACCGAAACTCGCTTGGTTTTATAACAGCGTGTGGTTTGTGTTGCCTGGTTTTTCCTTTTGATTCAACCATTCTTTGTGGCGTATGTTGTACATAGCCAAGACTTGTAAACAGAATAAATATCCCTTCAGTACTGCAAATGGTTTAAGTTCTGCATACGCATTCGTCGGAACATGTGGGAAAACGTGATCAAAACATGCTGCTTTTCCGGCCTTCAAAGAGACCAGATTACTGCAGCTACTCCCATAGAAATTTTCTTGCACATGAGAAACATGGACATGTGGTAAATTGAAGTATTAGTCAGAGAAGCATCTGTCAAAGTCGCTCTTTCCCCCACTCGCCAGCCAGCCGTGCCTTAAGTTTGTCCTCATCAACAGTTTTCCAATTAGATACTTTCAACCTGCTAGCATTAAGAGACAACCCCAAATATTTTGATAAGCCAGCAACCCCCTGACAGTTGAACAGATCACCATATTGTTCTACTCCCTCTGTTCCTAAATATTTGTCTTTTTAGAGATTTCAAATTGACTACCGTATACTAAATATTTGTCTTTTTAGAGATTTCAAATTGACTACCGTATACGGATGTATATAGACATATTTTAGAATGTAGATTTACTCATTTTGCTCCGTATGTAGTCACTTGTTAAAATCTTTAGAAAGACAAATATTTAGGAACGGAGGAAGTACTTTTCATCATGCTCAGGCACCATCAAGGCCTCACTTTTCTGGAAGTTGATTTTTGTACCAGACATCATTTCAAACAAAGTATAATAGTGGCTTCAATTTCCTAGCCCCCTCCATGTCATCCTTAATGATCAAAGTGGTATCATCGACATATTGTAAAATGACAATCCATTTGTCAATATTTTTTTGGCAAATCCATTTGTCAATCAGATGATCCGCATAACCAGTAAACAAGCCATTGTTCTAAGTATTACGTACCATCTTCAGGCAGTCGGATTGCCACATCCCTTTGTGACTGCCAAAATTTCTCCTAACATCATCATTAACCCAGACACTAAAAGGCCCCGTTCTGAAGTTCTCCACAAGCCAGCTTCCTAAAATCGCTAGCCGAACGGATCTACTCCAAGAAGCAGACTACGCGGAGACGAGGAATACGCAGTGCAATTTTTTCCGAGACGAGGAGCAGCGCCAGCCCAGCTTCACGAAACAGAGAAGTAGGAGTTGATCAAAATTACATGGGGAATGCCCTTTCGAAGTGAGCCTCGGGTACTTTCGACCGCTACAACCGGCCCTCGACACATCGAAGCAAGGAGTTGGTCGGAATTACATGCCACTGCTCTTCCGAAGTGAATCTCACATACCGTTTCGATCGCTCGAACCTGCTTCCCCAACCGAACTGGGCCAATATGACCTGGCCCAAACCCTGGCCGAGCAGGCCTTAGCCTGATTTCCTGGGCTACCAGTCCATGCGTACGTGAGGAGAAGAGCACGTTCAACCGAACGAATTGCTGCTCCACAGAGAAGCTGGAAGCCAGCGAGAAGCAGGGAAGCCAGCTATTTCGGAAAGCTAGTGGAGATCCGAACGGGTGTCCCTTGGGTGACCACACTTTTCATCCCGGCAATCCATTTTAGGCTGGAACCTTTTTGCCCAGCGGTCAAAGAGAAACTGCTAGTTCACCTTGTCATATGCTTTCTCAAAATCATGCTTCACAACTACTATCTCATGCTTTGATATCTTCCAAAATTTCATGCAAATGCAAGACCCCATCCATGATGTTCCTACTAATCTTGGACATGATGAGGTCAACTCTAATAGTCAAAGCTTTCGAGAAGCTACACTTTTGAACTCAGAACACTAACAACTCAAATTTTAGATGCTCATGAGCTTATTATCCTAGGTCTTAACAAATTAATTGCAAAACCGGCGGCGGGCAAATGGGGATGAACTTCTCGATTTTGCCAGCATGTGCACCTTTGGCAGTAAGGTAATCACTCCAAAATTAATCCCACTCAGGTCCAGTCTATGTTCATAGAAGTCTTGGAAAGCTGACATTATATATGGTGCTCATTGAATCAAACATGCACGCTTTGTATAAAATGTCGCATTATGCTTCATGCCTTAAAACTACATATTTGTGGCCAACCACACCTCACATAACAATTCATCCTCTTTCATCGAGTACACAACCATCATGTTTCCTTCAAAGTCAACAGTGACAACGTCAAAATATTTGGCTATGCCATTTGGTCAAACACTTGTCGGGCGTGGCGTTCGCCATGGACATTGGTGACAGGGGAGGATGGTACCTGGGCGCCGGCGGAATCCTGGGTGGAACGGTGGCGTGCGCCAATGCATGTAGGTGTCTGTCTAGAGTGACAGAGGTACGACAAGGCATGGGCAATGGCCGAGGTGGTACAGTGGTGGTGATGCTCTCCGAGGGTGCAGATATAGAGCACAGGGGAGCGATGGAGTGGGAAAAGGGGCTCCGGGTGGGGTATTTTGGTGGGCCAGCAGCGCCAGAGTCTGACGGGGCAGACCCTCGGACTACCCCAAACCTCTCTAGGTTTGGTTCATGTTTGTGGGATTTTGGACATCTGGGTCAGGACAATTTTCGTGATCGATGTTAGATGGCCAAAATTATTTGGACCGTCAGACGATTTGGTGGTTTGTGTTGGAGTTACCATTAGAGCATGTACATTTGAACCCCCTTCCCCCCTAAATGTCTGGGTGGATAGACCTGTTGGGGCCTAGACAAAAAATTCCACCCAACCGGAACCCCCAAACCCAGCCCAAACGTCCAGGTTGTACGACACCCCACATATCTAGCCCATATGTGGGGCGGACATGGAGACTCTCGGACGCATCTACCACGTTGGATCCGACAAGCCGGACCCATCCAAGTCTCTCAAAATTAAATTGTCCTCAACCTAGCTCTACCTACCCTCTTCCTCCCCTTTCTTCTTCCTCATAAGTGCCACCCCTTCCCTACATCCGTCGTCCTAACACATAGCTGTTGGGAAACGTAGTAGAAAACAAAAAAATTCGCCCTGCGATCATCCAAGAACAATATGAAGATGCATAGCAGATTTGGATCAATGATCGTTACTGAGGGAGTCCTGGATTAAGGGGTCCTCAGACAGCCGGACTATATACATGGGACGGACTGTTGGGCTATGAAGATACAAGATAGAAGACTTCGTCCCGTGTCCGGATGGGACTCTCCTTTGCGTGGAAGGCAAGCTTGGCGATTCGAATATGTGGATTCCTTTCTCTGTAACCGACCTTGTGTAACCCTAGCCCCCTTCGGTGTCTATATAAACCGGAGGGTTTAGCCCGTAGGACGAGGACAATCATAATCATAGGCTAGCTTCTAGGGTTTAGCCATTACGATCTCGTGGTAGATCAACTCTTGTAATACTCATATTCATCAAGATCAATCAAACAGGAAGTAGGGTATTACCTCCATAGAGAGGGCCCGAACCTGGGTAAACATTGTGTCCCCCACCTCCTGTTACCATTAGCCTTAGATGCACAGTTCGGGACCCCCTACCCGAGATCCACTGGTTTTGACATCGACATTGGTGCTTTCATTGAGAGTTCCACTGCGTCGTCACCAGAAGGCTTGATGGCTCCATCAACCATCTACAACAACGCAGTCCAGGGGGAGATCTTCCTCCCCAGACAGATCTTCGTATTCGGCGGCTTCGCACTGCGGGTCAACTCGCTTGGCCATCCAGAGCAGATTGATAGCTACACCCCTGGACATCAGGTCAGATTTGGAAGCCTGAATTTTGTGGCCGATATCCGTGGAGACTTGATCTTCGACGGATTCGAGCCCCTGATGGCTGCCCCCTGCCACCACGATGAACATGACCTAAATCTGTCATCTGGCAACACTCAGGAGATAGCGTCTGTAACCGCTCTGGCCCTAGATCCGGAACAGATCGCGGCGTCCGAAGACGGGAAGCCTAACCCCGCCTTGGAAGCCGTGGATTCAGCGACGCTCGAGCCGCACACAGACCCAACGTCAAGCTGGGCCTATGTCACCGGAACCTCGAACTTATCTCCGGCTATAGGTTCCGGACCGCGTGCATCCGCATCCTCTGAGCCTGACTGGGCGTCGATCTTGGAGTTCAGCTCCGCGGACATCTTCCAACACTCACCTCTAGGTGATGTGTTAAACTCATTAAAATCCCTCTCCTTGTCAAGAGATTCTCGGCCGAACTATGCCCGGCTCGAGTGGGAAGCGGAGGACGAAGAACTTCGTTTCCCACCCACCACCCACTTGATAGCCACTGTCGACGACTTAACCGACATGCTTGATTTCGACTCTGAAGACATTGACGGTATGGACGACGATGCCGGAGAGGAACATGAACCACCGCCTACAGGACACTGGACAGCCACCTCCTCATACGACATATACATGGTGGATACACCCAAAGAGAACAATGGCGATGAAAAAAAAGATCCAGTTGAGGATAAGCCTCCTGAGAAACAGCCAAAGCGCCGACATCGGCGGTGCCGCTCTAAACCACGTCGTGGACAAAACAGCAACACCATCATAGGAGAAGGTAATACTCCGGATGACGCCGAAGACAATGAAGACCCCGCAGACCCAGCAAGGACGAGCGAGATGACGGCAAACACAGTCCGGGGCCGCTGTCCGACCACAGCGACGCCGAAGATACCAATTATCAACCTGCCTCCGAAGAGGAGATTAGTCAGGGCGACGATGCATTCATCATCCCGGAAAGACCTTTGGAACAATAGCGCCTCCACCAGAGACTTATCGACACCACGAGGAGCTTGAAGAAGCAGAAGCAGCGGCTTAAAGCCACATAGGGTACGCTCAATGATAGATGGAACGAAGTGCTCGACACTGAGGAAAAAACGGCGGTAATTGCCAAACAAAGAGCTATCCTAAGCGAAAACTGCTGCCCGAATTCGACAACGAAGCTATTGCGCCCA